ATAGCTACAATTTATTTTGTGTTATTTATTTCTGTGTTTGTTATATCTACGGAGACTTGAGAGACTCTACTATGTCATCCAAACAAAGTAGAACTGATTCTCCTGCATCAGACAAGAAAAGAAAAACTTTATCTTTGGGATGTAAAGTTAACATTATTAAAGACTTTGATACAAAAATGAAAATTTGTGAATTGGCAAAGAAGTTTGATCTACCGGAATCGACGGTCAGAACAATTATAAAAGATAAAGAAGAATTCACAAAGCTGTAAAAAATGCTCAATCTTTAAATTCAAGCATCATTTGTAAAAGTCACGGTATTATCGCTGAGATGGAAACGATGTTAAAATTACGGTGTGATAATCAAGTAAATGTGAAAAATTGTTTAATAATATAATTTGTTATAGGCTACACATGTATTATCTAAGATTTTATTAATCATTTTTTTCTAAATTATATTTTTCTTTAGTCTTCGGCCCCAATTAAAAATTATTTGTATGTATTTATATGTGAAATTATACCCCCACTTACGCGAATTTGACTTACGCTGTTATCGCTCGGTCCCACCTATCGCGTAAGTTCGGGGTATTACTGTATTTATAATTTAATGTATAAGAGAGTATTTTATGTCCAACTATTTAAAAAAAATGATAGAACATAAAAATTTATTCAGGTTACATTTCAATGAAAAGCTGAAATAATTGCCATACACAGTCAAATTATTGCTATCATTGGTGATTTGTTCATAAGTGTTCAGTTTGTTTATTTATTTATACAGGAACACGTCTATCTCAATCAAATATCGTGGATTTGAGTTTTGAGATATAGAAGTTCCTACACAGTAAACAATAATAGGTTAATAGGTTTGATTGGAGGTACAGTATTTTATTAATACAATAACAAGTATAGTACACACTTGTATTAGATATAAATAAAACATTTTCGGGTATGCCGAAAATGTTTAACCTTACCATACCTTAACAGAAATAGTTTTTCAATAGTTTCTGATGTTTGACTTTCTTCAACCAATAAGACATAAGCCAAAATCATAGCCAATCAGAGAAAGGCAGCATTTATTTCAACTATGTACTGTATTGAAAGAGATGTTTCTCAACTTCAATTTATGCTATGTTTTCAAGATAAAAATGTTTGAGATAGGTTCAATTATATTCAGTTTTACCATATATTTGTTTCACTAGCAGGTAAGCAAGCCTGTCATTTCTCGGGCAAAAAATAAAAACAACCGTTAAGGTTATTTCTTACTTCTAACCTTTTTATTATATTATATTATAGTAG